TAAATTTTTAATATAGTGTTATATAAATTTAACCGTTAAAAAATTAATTTAACAATTAAAAAAATAGTACTATGATAGTAGAATAAGAATGGGTGTTCCTAGAAGTAGAAGTTTCCATGTATATATTGTGAAAAAAAAAAAAATTAGAATTCCGAAGAATACAAGAATATCCCATCGAAAAGTCAAACGCACTATTCATGAAGAAAGCACTTTATTGAAGTGCTACTCCCACCATATATTCCCTCCCTCCTCTTTTCTTATTTACTTGAGGATTAAGGAATAATCAACTATTTACTAGCGTGATTAGATGGAGAGGTGATAGGTGCCTTTTAACCTTTTTTCACCGCCGCCCATTTTTGACTTTGAATGATATTGCACCAATGCAATCGCAAGGAACCTTTCTAATTAACTATTATAACACATTTACGGTACGACCATAAAACGAAAAGGGAAAAAAATTGGTTGAATATGATAAACATGGACAAAAGAAGTGAATTTTTCCTTTTTCTTTTCTTTCCTCTCAATCAAACTTAAACCACTAACCAATATGATCTACTAGCTACATGCTATAAGATGGTAAGCTATGCATGGTCATCAGCCGTTCAAAATCACCTCTTTTCTCCCTTGATTAATACGCAATATTTGCCCTTTTCTAAGAGGAAATAATTAATTTCCTTTTTTTTTTCCCCCACTGAAAGGGAAGGAAAGAACGAAAAGTCATATGCTATATGTATTTCTTTTTCTTTATATTGGTCCGTTCATTTCACCGATTCGAGTTTAGAATTTGAGTTTTACTACAGTAAAAAACTCTCAGAAACAATCACATCTAACTTTTTTACTACAGTAAAAAGTTTTCACATAAAATCACATCTCAACTCAAATTAAAAACTCGAATCAACGAAATAAACGGGCTCATGTGGGTTTAAAATTGTGCCCTTTCAAATTCAAACTCCACCTGATTTCAACATAGGATGGAAGCTATAAAATTCATATTTATCAAAAAAAAAAAAAATTCCAAGTTGTTATTTCATATTCATAAGTGAAAGTTACCCTATCCCATGACATTGCTATATGCTATGATGTGGATTTGAATTACAATTTAAGTTTTTGTTATAGTATTTTTTTTATAAATATTTAAATTTAACTTTTTTTATTATAATACTTTCTCTTAAATAAATTCACTTTTTAATTTAAAGCCCCAAAAAGGAGCTATTGAGCAAACATCTAATGTGATGATGCAAAGAAAATGATGTTTATGGTCCTCTAATTATCCAATCTTTTTAACAATTGTTGTTTGATACTTCACCTTTGATTCTTGCAATTACACGTACATGATGGTTGAATGTGTGTGTGTGTAATGTAGAGAAGCATTAAAATTTATGAGACCAGGAATGTGAATATACATCATTGCTTCTTAAGACCCTTGTGATCATTAAACCAATATTTTGTGTGGCCACTCAATATTTAACATTTCACCGTGTTAGATCTCGTCGTAATTATATCAGATAAACTCCATATATATATATATATATATACGTTTTTGTTTCCTGTTGACATTTCCCAGTACTACAAAGGATATGCACAAGTCTATTTTTATAACACCGAGTTTACCAAAACCGTTTGATTTAAAGTATTAATTAGGTGTTCATAATATCTGAAAATATCAAATGGAAAAATTAATACATATCTTTCAATAAATACTCACTAAGCTTGTTTTTAGATTCCAAGTTTAAGATAGCCGAAATGGTTTTGGTTGAATATACGACAATTTAATTGATTTTGGCGGTTTTAACGTATTTCAGCTCATGAAAAGGACTTTTTTTTTCTTTCTTTTTTTTGGTTAGAAAAGTACATTTAATTGTCTTCTGAATCATGTCCAGAATTATTATGATCAATTAGGCCCACAGGTAGGGGCCATATGTAGCCACTACTGCCTCTTTGATAGTACAAAATATTAACTAAATTGATAAATGATATATCAGCCGACAACAATATTAATTAAAAAATGAGAATATAAAATGGGAAGCAGAAAAGAATGTACGAACGTCCTCTAGTAAAAAAAATGAAATAGAAAAATAAAATCCGTAGAATGTTATGATTCTTATGAATAATATGAACGACTTTAGAAACAACCAAGTAAATAATAAAATATTTACAGTTGAAGAAGGCAACGAAAATAACAGCACATAAAACGTTACCGATTATCTTCGATTTTTTGTTATTTGGAATTGGTAGGATATGCCTCTTTCTTCAAATTCATAGATTGGTGGAACTAATATTACCTAACAATCATAGGGTTAAAGCTACAATACATTCCACTTTATTTTGAAAGTACCATAAACTAGTTTAGTTGTTGAAATTATTTCAATTTTTAGCTTGACAACTTTTTTTTTAATAGCAAAATCAGTTTTTCCCAGAGTTTAGTGATTGAGATTTAGACCGCGTACAATTTATAGTAGGGAGTTTCACCTGTAAGATTAGAAAAATAAAACTACAGATAGTTTTAATTTTTTAAGTTGTTTTCAACCGTTAGATTTGTAACAGAAATTGTCTGTTATGTATATTTTTTTAATCTCATTTAATTTTGATTAGATTCAACGGTCAGAAAATTAATCATACCCATAAGACGATCTACCGGAGATAATCCCTTCATAGTAACCTCCATTATTTTCCCTCCTGTCAGCTATAGTTTTTGCCTTATCTTCTTTGAAAGTGCTTCCCTTTGTTCTCTTAACATGTTTTATAGTTTAAGAGTTTCTATGGCGAAAATTTTTCTTTCTTACTATCAAAAAGAGCTGCTATAATAAATGTTGAGTTAAATTTTAATAATTTGATAGATAAATATCCACATTTGTGCTAACATAAAAACTATTCTCATTTATAGATCTACCATAGAAATGGCTATAAAAGATATCAAATCCATATGCCAACGCGACGGACAATCCATTTAATGGCATTATCATTATTTTTTTTTTATCTATTTTCGGAAAAAATAAATAACCATAAAAGGATAGCTACTAATGCAGCTGCAATCCTACAGGAGATGTAGTACTTTTCCAAGGAGCAATTACTCCTCTCTGGTCCCTCTTCGTACAAACATAAGCTTTCTCACTGCTCAAACCCTTCTTCTTAAGGACATAATAATCACATATATGTATATATTATATATATAAAGCCTTCCCACCCCTCACAAATTCTGGGTTGATTTTGCATATGATTGAAAGAAATAGTAATGGCTCACGTTTTTCACCTGTATTATAACTGCTAGTTGCCTCCAATTATATGTTCCATGTGGGCTGCAAATTAATCTTAGGCATATAAAACAAGACCAACATAATCAATCAATGCAAAAGCATACCATTTCAAATAAACAAAACAAAAGGATCATTTATAAATAAAAAAACATATATCATGTGTGCCTTCACTTTATAGACATCTTTTTTTTTTTTTTTTACCTGGATTGCGGCACAAAAACTTCAAAATAAGAAAGCAAGAGAATCATTTATAGATATGGAATCATTGTTGTACATAACTTTGTAGACATAATTTCCCTAGAATAAGGCATGAAAAACTCGAATATATTTAGACTTTATTCATTTTACCGATTCGAGTTTTCAGTTCTAAGTTTCTATAGTAAAAAGTTCTCATAAAATATCACATCTAATTTTGTTCTATTACAGTGAAAAATTCTCAGAAAATGTCACATCTCAGCTTGAATTGAAAACTCGAAACTACGAAGTGAACAAGGCCTTATTCTTCCTAAAAATTATAGTTGTGTCGGCATATTCATCTTTCATTTCATATCCTGAAGAAAGTAGAAAAAAAAAAAGAAGTTAAAAGAACTATAAACAAAAAAAAAAATTTAACATAATCAATAATAGGAGATATTATCATGCATGTCGTTACTATTATTGTGAAAATCCCCTATAAAAGATTCATAATAATTAGTATAGAATATGTATCACTTCATATTATAATGGTAGATATGAATTATCACTTATCACCTAATGAAATGAAGAGAACTTTTGTCGTTAATTTGTATGTGCAGTCTAATTAAGGTCTCATTCATTTCGTCGATTTGAGTTTAGAATTTGAGTTTTATTACTGTAAAAAGCTCTCATAAACAGTCAAATTTAATATTTTTATTACAATAAAAAAATCTAACGTAATATTATATCTTAACTCGAATTAAAAATCTGAATCAACGAATTAAACTAAATGAGTACTAAATATAATTTTACTCACTTTATCATTAAGGTGTTTGAGTTCAAATTATTCACTTTCAAGTTTAAAAAAATAAATTGAAAATATAGAATGAATAATAAAGGGGGCAAAAGCATAATGAGAGGGGAAATGTGGTGATGGGCGGGAGACATGAATTCTCGTGCTTCTCAAGTGTGATAGAATTGGATGTGGGTCCCAGGCTCCACACATCCCAGCAAATTGCCAGCGAGGATCTTCGTCTGCACTTGTCATGTGTGGGACCCCTCCACTGGTGATGACGTGTCAACATATGGGCTTCTAGCATCGACGTTGTGCTGGCACTTTTATAACGCCGACGCATAATAACGACAAAATGGGAGTATTCTCATCCCACACATACACAGCTTTCAGAAATTATTGTGATTATCCTTTTTTTTCCTTTGGGTTGAGAATGCAATTGTTTTTGTAGATCGTACAAACAATTTCTGTATTTTTCCTTCCTTCAACCGTCACGTGAACATAGAAGAATAGTTGAATAATGAATAGTTAGTTCTTCATTTGTTTTCATCAATTTTTTTTTTTCATTTCGGGAATATAAAATTCGTGCACTATTTAATGCCTCTCAAACAACATTGAAGAGTACGTTTGACAATGTTGACATGCCAGCGTTTAGTAAAAAGTGCGTTAAGGTGTATTCGTATCATGATTCGAATCATAATTTATAGTGTGTTACAATATTTTTTCATATAAAAAATATACATAAATCAAGAATGATTTTGAATCCATAAACCAAACGTCCACTAATACACTAGTGGTGTCAACTAATAACATTTGGGTCTTCGTAACGTTAGACCCATAGGTGAATCTTATTTTCATTAGTAGTGGTACTTAATTCCGGTGGTGGCTGGTCTCTCACTATTTTATGAGGAAAGTACACAAAAAAGTTATTATTTAATTGGTTATACATGTAGGAACGATTCAAGAAACATGAAAAACATTAGTATATCTTTGTTTTGGGTCAAAGGAAACGCCCAAATTCAACCACGAGAAGGCTGTATAGCTGCGAGTAGATTCTTGAGGGCATTGTCATATGATATAAAACCCATGAACCAGAATTCATGGCCATCCCTCGTGACTACATGTATGTATTTGTCGGAAGGGTTCCATCTGTTCGCACAAGGATTCACTGTCCTCAACTGCTCGAGCTGTATCACAACCTACGGCACCATTCAAAAAACACAATTTTTTTTTTAAATAAGAAAAAATAACAGAATCTTAGTCTAAAAATAAAACAACTAGAAAAATTATCGTGAATGATTTTTTCTTCTCTTATTTACTCATAACAAGAAAATAGTCAGATTTCTCGGTAAATAATAAGATTTATAAATTACTTTGGTTAATAGCTGCAAATTATTTTTAGTCATCAAAAATATAATATTTAATAATGAACTTTAGTCAATACATAGGGAATTCATAATAAAAAAGGGTCATTTCTTAATCCAAAAAAATCGTTTTAACTACCTAAAAAAGTTACAGTATTTTCCTAAATCTCGCAAACAAAAATTTTGTGATTCCAACGGTATTTCAAAAAAAAATTATTATATTTCAACATCACTCTCATAAATTTGCCAAACTTTTACCATACGACTCAAACTCCGTGAGTGGGCTTCTTGTTCAACCATTAAACATTTGTGATTGGGCTCATCTTATTGAGCAATAACTTGATCGGCCCATGGCTAAGAACTAGATCTTTTCGGACCTTGGAAGCACTTACAATATCCTAATTAAGCTGAAGGGCAAATACGCTTTAAAAATACATGCGTTTTAAATTTTTAAGTGTTACACTTGATTAATAATATTTAACTTGATTAAAAAAGAGTATTAATAAAAAAATAAATGATAAAAATTTTAAAATAATACATTCAAAAAGGGAGTTCACCCATTTTCTCTAAGTTGTAAAATGGTCGCCAAATAGGTAGCAGAAGTTAGTTATAAGAGAAGATGTTTTGTTCAGTGTTTACCTTGTAATATGACGACTCTGGAGTCCCTTGGGAAGGGTAGTGGGTGAGGGGAAAATCACTGCAAAAGGCTATTCTCTTATTGGAAATGTAGAGTGTGCCAATCACAGGTCCAGAAGCAGTGGACAAGTAGCAAGCATACGAGTGTAAGAGCTTCTCTCCGGCCATGCTCTGAAACGCCTGCCGGAACACTTTCTCATATCCCCCACCTGCCAACACCTTTGTTCCCTGAGCAACCCTTGCCAGTGCCGCGTCCGACATACTAGGGCTAATTCTCACTGTCACGTACACAAAATTAAGACAACACAATACAAGTTTAGGTTAAACATGGATAGGCATGTGTAGATCGAGAAAAACGCCATTTATTATTATTAGATTTATTTTTATGCTTTGTTATGTATTAATTTTGTTCTGCTACTTTTAAGAAATAGACGCCCCAATATTTTACTCTCGAATAAAATTTGGAGAAGAAAAATAAACAAACACCTTTAATCATTGCAGTAATTCGCTACGTTTATATTTAACCGTTGCAGTAATTCGTCATGATAAACAATAAATTACAATAAAAATCGCACACCTTTTAAACTTTGGTCGATCCGCACGTGCCTTATAAGTCGTGACAATATCTAGACCCACAACTTAGAAAAAGCTATTAGGGTTGAAGTGATTTGAATTTAGTGCTGAACTCTAGTTTTTCTCTAAGTTAATGGGTGCAAGCTTTGATTGACACATTAATGTGACTGGTAAGAACAAAGCATGAAATGGAAATAGAGACTAGTTTTTGGCCCCAGAGGACTGAACTTCTCCCCAGGGATTTTCTGATTATTACTGAAAAGGAGTAAGAACAATACAGAGATGAGCAAGTGTTCGAGAGACTTGCTAGCTCTCCCAATTTTACCAAAAAACCAGCCCATCTCAAATCTACACAGCCTATCCATTTATTCATCCCCCACTAACTCACAACCAATTGCTTAACAAACTACATCCCCCTCCTGCAATTCTCACACGAGCCAAGCAAGCTTACTCAATTGCTCGATTTCCCTCCCCCCGAAGTACTAGTTTTACCATTCTGCCCCTTCTTCCTCTTCCTAGAGTAGGTGATGTGGATTGGAGCCTTATCAGGAACTTTTTAGGGCCCGTTGATTTGAGCTTTTAATTCGAATTAATATGTGATTTTATGTGAGAGTTTTTTATTGTGGTAAAAAAATTAAATGAGACTGTTTTTGAGAATTTTTTACTCTAATAAAACTCGAATCGGTGAAATGAACAGAAGTTACTTTTTATTTTCAAAAGGATATGCTGTTCATAGTAAAAACTAGATGTGCTAGATATTCTGTAGTGCTAAATGACCCCTAAACTGATCCACCTACAACTAGTTTTGAATTATGTTCGTACAAATCACTAACCAATTGTCTGATTGTTTATGCATTTAGTTTCACGAAGTTGATTTGCTTATATATATATATATATATATATATATATGTCTTCCACAGTTCCACTATAACTGAATCACAATCTAAAAACGACACATTCATTTTTTAAACCAACTTCAACTCAGCATATAAAAAAACAGCCAAACCATCTAAGAATGAGGCAGTATGGCATTCACGTTGATTTTCACTTGTTAATTAGAAAAGCATAAGAGGAACGACAGCAGATTATTGAAGAAAGAACTCACGGTGATTCCAGAAGTTGTCTGCAATGACTTCTGCTTTTCTTGTGGCTTCTTCAAACCTCTTTCCGCACCGGCCGAAAGCACCAAACACCTTCACCCTTTGACCTATAACAACAGCGAATATACTTAAGAAACACATAATATTTTTGCCATAACTTGCCAAGAAAAATATCATGATCACCTGATATTTACCCTTCAAAACGGTCGTTCTATAGTTATATAGAGTTTTACAAATTCAAAGAAAAACGAAAAGACGGCAACAGAAAGACTCACGATTGCCAGATGAAGGCGATGCAGAAACAGGGGAACATTGGACGTAAGGATTGTTGTTGTTGTTGTAAAGGGCCAAGCCTGTGGAAGGAGTTGAGTGGCTATTCATGTTTTGAGGTCTTTTTTGTTTTTCCCTCTTCTTGCGGAAACAAACAAGATGATGGGAGTTTCAGGCTTTATAATCGATGAGCTTCGTTTATTCCGAGGTAAGAATTTTTTTGTTTGTTTTTTGTTTTTTTTTCCTTTTCCAAAGTGGGAACGGAATCGATCTGAATCGTACAAAAGGTGCTTTTAGTGGTCAAGTGCGTCTTTTAATCTAACGCGCGCGAGCGCGCGCAGAGAATATAATAGAATTAAGAATCCAATCTTCCACCGCCCTAACAAAAGAGAATTTTAAAGCTATCCAATTTTCTAGCATTACATTATACTTTAGTAGAGGTGCTTTTACTGTTTATACTATAGTGCTATAAATAGTATCTTTCTTATTTAATCCCTAATATTCCTTTCTATATTGGTCTAATATCATTTTGAATGTTAATTTACTATCATGCTCTTTATTTCATCTTCAGTTATTTTTTTTCACTTTCTCAATTGTTTCATTTCCTTTCACTTTTTTTATTATCTCTGCTTTCCTCTACTGTCTTCTACAACCTTCTATGGTTTTCTTTTTTTTCCTTCTCTTCTGGAGCAAATTTTCTCACTTTTCTTGTTTCTTCTCTTTCATTTTTGGTTTCTTCGTTCTTTTCTTCTTCGTTTGTTTCGAAAGGAAAAAAAAATTTCTCTACCTTTTGTTTTCTTCTTATGCTTTTGGGTGATTAGGGTTTTGTTGTTTTGGTATTTTTTACACTATGGTGGTTTATAAACATTTATGTCTTCATATATTTTTTGTTTCTTCATTTTCTTCTTTCCGATCTGTTTGGATATTAATTTTTCCTTTTTGTATCGTTTCTTCTTCTCTGATATTTTTAGGTGTTATGAGCTTTTTTCATTTCGTCATTTGTTTACTAATATGGTTTGTGTTTATCTCTTCTGATCTGTTTGGGTGTTTTAGGTTTTCTTAATTTCGTCATTTGTTAACTAATATGGTTTTTCATTTAATTTTTTTTATTTATTTCTAAAAAAAAAATTTCTTTTAACTGTATAATTTTTTTTGTATTTATATTTTTTTTGTTTTTTTCTTTATGATGTTCTGTTCTGAAACAATAAAATTTTTGTATTTACCTGTTTTTTTTTTTTCAAGTTCTTCATGCAGAGGCATTTGGAAATGTTTTTCTTCTTATGTTTTTTTTTTCCGATCCATTTTAGAATTTTACAAATGTCTATTTTTCTTTATTTTTGTTTAGTCTATTGTCTTTTGTCATTCTGGCATTAGCTTAATTACTTGTTCTTCTTTTTCATTTTCTTAGGACTCTTACTATCTAATCGTGTTAATTTTGTGGTTTGACACGTGTTTCTTCTCATTACTCAGCTTTGTTTAACGGGGATTTGATATATGATTGTCTGTTGCTTATTGGCTCCGTTTTGCGGTGGTTTTCCATCTTCTAGACAACTGTTGTTGAGTAATCGTGTTTTTGATATATCTATTTTTGCATGACTTTTTATCAAAAATTGAGCAAAAATTTAATGTCGTTTTCTATATATAACATGTTATGTTTTGTTACAATAGCAATATATTTTACTTTCTATGATGTATATATACGTGTAAATATATTTTAATTAACAATACTATATATTTTTGTGTAAATATATTTATAAAAATTTCAAATCTATCATATAATACAACACTGTATTCCGTAGCGCGAAATACAAACTCGTTAATTCCTAACAGAACTAATATGCAGAATGGACCATTTATGTGAAAATGCTTTTTGGTAGTGGGACTTCACCTCCATATGGAATTAACTCCTTAAGATTGAATTTTCCTTTTCTAGTAGCTGTGTCACAAGAAGTGGTACCATGGTCATTTTTGTCAGCAATTTGGAATAGATTATAAAATAATTACGACCATATGTATAATTAAAGATCTTTTCTGGATGTAAAATCTTTTCTCCTTTTCTTTTGCGTCTTTCTTTTCTTTCTTTAGCATCTACTCAAAACTACTCTAGAAAGCGAATTTTCTAGCCGCACCTGGCTTTATTTACAACATTTAAAGAAGTATTTACACAAAATGGTCACCTTAAACTATGTGCTTAGAATATGTCATTAATTTAATAATATTATTAATATATATATTTTATGGTTATTGAAATAATATTTTTTTAAATGTTTCTTTTTTATGTGAGTGGTTATGAATTTCTATAATTGATTTTATAGGTGGTTGATAAAATGATAAAATATCATTAGGAACTATCTTACAGCTTTAAGTGTAAATATCGCAACTCACGGATATTCTTTTTTCAATATCCTGCATAACGGACATATATATCTAATTAACTCTTGAAAAAAATTGATGAACTCACTTTTTAAATACATTGTTCCAACGTTTTTACTTTTTCTTCTTAATTAATACCTTCTTAGGCTTTATTCACTTTGCAGATTTGAATTTTTAATTCCAGTTGAGATGTGACATTTTTTAAGAACTTTTTACTGTAGTAAAAGAAAAATAGATGTAACATTTTTTAAGAACTTTTAACTGTATAAACCTAAAATTAAAAACTTAAATCGGTGAAATGAACGAGACTTTAATTGATATAATTCTTTAAGTAAAAAATATTAATCAAATTTAAAAAATAAAAATCTAAGACCATTCATTTTAAAAGTATTTGTCTATTTTTTTAACTTTTTTTAAAAGTCCTACCAAATTGACACACACAAATGATTAAAAAATATATATATAGTACACAAAGACAGAGGGATGCAACAATGGGCCGGAGCCTGTGGGCCGGCCCAAGCCCATCAAGCCCATCCTAACACAGTGTCGGGCTAGCACAGCCTGTCACTGTTCAAGGCACGGCCCAACCCATAAATATTGGTGGACTGAGCTGGGCCAACATATATCAGCCCATTGGCCGGCTCGGCACGACCAATGAAAAATCATGGGCCAGGCCGGACTGGGTCCATCTAGGCCAATGATGGGCCAGCCTAGCCCGGCCCGTCTAGGCCCATAATGGGCCAGCCCATCCCATTTAGGCTCATAATATCTTCATGCTTTTTTTTATTTTTTAGTAATTTTGTCAACATTTATATATAATTATCCTGATTGTACTCTTTTTTCCTTACCTAGATTTTGTCCCACTAAGTTTTCCTTATAAAGGTTTTTATTTAATAAGGTAATCGTAAATAAAATATCTCATTTCATATTTTTATTGATTATTCAAACTTATATATTTGTTAACTTGTTTAAAAAATATAAAATAAAAATAAAAAAATTGAAAATTGCATGCTTAGATGGGCTAAGATGGGCCTTTAGTGGGCTAGCCCATGGCACAGCTCATCCTGGCCCGCAGCACGGCCCAGCTTGGCCCGCGGCACATCCTAACTTGGTTCACGTAAAATTGACCCGTGATGTGGACTCGACTGAGGTCATTCTTATACGGCCCGGCTCGCATGGGCCTAAGGAGAATGGGACGGGCTGGCCATTCTTACATCTCTAAGAGGGTTGCTCTAGCGTCTAGTGTCTACAAATATTATGATTGGGCTACCTCATACTTGCCTTGGCTCAAAATTGAGACGATTTGTGTAAGAGCAATTCCAATCAAACTCTTTAAATTTTAATTGAAGTGGATAAAAAGTTATTTTAATTAACTTAAATTATACTATTTATTTTAATTAAATATAAATTATTTTAATATTTATTTAATTTAAATATATAATAATTTATTTAATTAAAAAAACTTTTGCTTTTGAAAAAATAAAATAATAGAAAAACAAATAATTAGCAAAGAACTAACAACTTCTTACTAATTATATTTAACTAGAGTGAGGTACATTCTTTAAAATAATTAATTATTTAATTAATAGTTAAAATAGAGAAAAGAAAAAAATAAAATAAAATAAATTATTAACTATTTTAATTAAAAATATGAGTGGATTAATATTATAAAAGTTATTTTAATAAAAAATATTTAAAAAATATTTAATTTATGAATTTAAAATCATAATTTTTATTTTTTATTTTTAAATTTAAAATTTTTTATAAAAAATTATTGAACCAAAAATTATAATTCTAAGGTCTCGTTCATTTTACCGATTCGAGTTTTCAGTTTTAAATTTTTATAGTAAAAAATTTTTAAAAAATATCATATCTAATTTTTTTTATTATAATGAAAAATTTTTAAAAAATATAATATTTCAATTCGAATTGAAAATTTAAATTCACAGAGTAAACAGGCCTAAACAACAAAAACCCTACCTTAAACTAGTTTGTCCTGTGACTCTTGTTAATTAAAAAACCTTATCCAAAACATCGAAAGCACACATAAGTTGCACCTTTTCCTCACTCTCTTGTCGTCTAGCCTCTCTGCACTCACTTAAATTTGTCGCACCCATACACAACAGTTACACGCCAAGTGTTCTCATTTCTTGTCACACTTTGACAGAAAATTTCTCTCTTTTTTATCTCCACAATTATTCCGCGTCAAACGTCACATCAATCTCCGAGACTGCAACTTCAGTAAGCAAACGCTCTCTGCCTCGTCATCCTAATCAAAATGAATTATCTTATCAGGATAAAATTCTGATACACCCACGTCAATACTTGTCCTACCAAACAAATTTGTCATTAGCGGATGTGTCCATGTTCTTCATCTTACAACCATCCGATCTATTACCGTACACAGCAGTATAGCTCATCGACGGTACAGATCTATCAAAACTCGTTTTGTCCCAAAGAAAATATCATTCCAAAACTCGTGATTGGCTCGTATAGTGCGCCGCAATGTACACAATGTGCATTTGCCGCGTTACATCGCTCCTCCCCACAAGAAAACAAACAAATAAATTAAAGGACAAATCCTGATTAAATTATCCTATTTTTTTAATCTAATCAAATCAAGATTTCATGATCGCATCCTTATCATCTTATACGGACAAATGGACTGCCGTTGACGTTAGAGTCGGGGACGGCGTCGTTGAACCCAACCCAACGGCATTTAACGGCTGAGGGAGGTGAGATCGCCGCCGGAGACGAGTTTTCAGGGACGAGATTCGTCGTCCGGCGGTACGGACCGAACCATTTGTTCTGCATGTAGCGATTCTTCCTCCATGGAGGTATTGAGAGGTCCGTGATCTTGAGGGATCTCTTGGCGGCTTCGCACATTGCTCTCACGATCCTCTTCAGCTCGTCTCCGCTGCCGACAAAGACTCTCGGCAGAGACTCCAAGAGCTTCGAGTAATGCACCGATGGCCTTGCGATCTCGAACTCGGCGGCGAAGTCCAGGTCCACGAAGTATCGGCGGCTCTGCACCGATGTGCCGGTCGGTTCGACGACGGCGTCTATGAACTCGTAGTTTCCGGTGGTTAGTCCACCGGAGGAGTCCCACCTCGTCTTGCAGATCGCGCCATTGTGCCCCGATTCCCTCAGGTACGACATCACGCTTCTTCTGAACTTTGCTTTGTTAGATCTCAGGTGAGACAACAACTCCGTCGCTTCGGTGACGTGAGCGAGGAGGCGTCTCTTGTACGCATCCGCATTGCTAGATGCTGCACTCGATCTGAGTATGCTTTCCGTCGAGTCGGCTCGTTCGGAGACCGAGTCAACCCGGTCCAAGTCGGAGTCGCTCTCCGGAGACCGAGTCTCCGAGTCGTCCTCCTCTAAGAAACCGTGAACGAGCTCGGAGAGACACGGCCAATCATCGGTGGCAGAGTGTTCGCTGCCGCTGCTGGCGTAACCGAGTTCCGAGCTCTCTCTCCCGACGAGTCGATCTCTGACTCGGGCGTCTAGTGGATCGGTGACTCGTTTCGTCCGAACGAAGCCCGCCATTTCAATAAGCTAAAGTATTATTTCTTTTTTCTTTTGTTTTGTTCTTCTCTCTCTCTCTCTCTGTTTTTTTTTTTTTTTTTTTTTGGCTTGTGGTTGAAGATTGATGAACAAGCAAAGGAATGTCGCAGAAGCTATATAAAGAAAGGGGTTGGCCTTTAAAGAAGAAATAGAGCAAGTCCGTTTTGGAGGAATTATTTTTGGAATATTCGTTGGAACTTAGAGACTAGAGAGCTTTTCTTTATTTTTCTCATTTTACTTTTACAATTTGTTAAAATAAAACGTGTACTTTAATAAAAATAAATAAAAATAATTTTGACAATTCGAAGACTGAGGGAAGGATATGCGAGGTAGGATCCTAGTAAGGCTTCTGTACACGTTGCAGCATATCCAAGCGCACCCGCGTGGTTTATTCGGACCTTGTGAACTGCACGCTTGCCACGAGGTGGCACGTGGTGGAAATGGGCTATGGGCCTGTGAATCTGGAAGGTGTGGCGGGTCCCGCTTTAAGGGGGTTTTGGTAATCGTATTGTTTCGGTATTTGTTTTGGTATTGGCATTCGTATTAGTACTACTACTACCTCTTGGTGAATCGGAAGGGTGAGAGTGGACCTGTTTAAATATTTCAATTGGATTAATTAGGAATTTAGATAAATCTTATCGTCATCCCAATGGGGTTGCTTTTGAGATTCTCTTTCACGGCAATTTTCTTCCGCGAAATCTCTCTACTGTTGCAGTTAATTTATGATCATTATTTTGATTAAAATTATATGAAATTAAAAAAATATATATTTTTTTTAATTTAATTTTAAAGTTAAAGATAAATAACTATCAGTAATTTATTTTTTTTATCTTATAAGAGAAACACTTTTTTTAATTTTTTTTTTCCCTTCGTGCATCAGGTTTGATTTTGGATTTTTAAGACGCGCTGAAATGGCCTAATTATAATATAAGAGATAATGGGTAATATTCCAGGACTTGTACCTTTATTCCCTATGTCCGCAACAAACATATTCTTTGAGCAAAAAAGAGTTCAGCCCACTCATTATTGGGACTTTTTGTTGAGTGGTGGAATTTTTTAATGTCGTTGTTCGTTTCAAACTAGTTTTTTGCGTTTTTAAAACCATACTCCTAAAAACTTTTGGTCTTTGACAATTGTCTCCAATTTTTTTTTTCTTTTAAACATCTTAAACTTATCATTACAGGTACAATTTAGTTTAAATTAATTACGCCGTTTAAATTAGTGTTAGAAATACCCGTGTGTAACTTGAATGACTTGTAACTTATATAATTAGCGTTTTACTCCCTAAATTTTTAGTGTGTTAGAAAATTACTTCTCAACTTTTAATTTGAACAATTTAACTCTTATTCTCTTCACCAATCTAAATGATATTATCAATATGGGCCATGTTGAGATGGATGGTTTGGAAATTTTAAGAAGTTAATCATTAATATTAAAAGTTTAGCGGATAATTTGTCAAAACATCGAGAGGTTAAGGGATACAAAATTTTTGAGGGTAGAAAGGGAAACTAATCGTTTTTGACTCGTAAGTAATTGAAAACGGAATCCTGATGTCTAATCCCAAAAATTCAACTATATGCAAAATTTATTTATTTCGAAGCCAATCTAGGAAGATGAGCAACTACGTTTCTCTCTATTAATGTTTCTCCATAATTAAGTAGTATTGGGCATAGACTGGTTAGTAGCGTAAAACAAGTCCCTATCATACAATTTTCAGAAATTGGCTGTTTTGAGGAACTTTGCTTCGTTTAAGTTTGATATTTTGTCTTGTATTTTGGTGGGGTGAACAATTCTTATATTGCAAACGTGTAAATTGTTAATACTTACCTTGATAAATTTTTATCAAGTTTTTTTTTTTTAAGTGTGATAATGTGATAGTTTTCTTATTTAATTCTAATGTGAACAAATAATTTAGAATTGATCTTATCACTTAGATTGTTTTTTTCCATGTCCTGGCACATAATTTTTCTTATTTTATTCGATTCGAAAACGGATAGACTATCTTGCTAGAGCCAACCCGTCATGGTAGGTCAAAATTCCAGCCAAATTCTATCTTTGGTGGGGGCTGGAGAAGAAGGGGCCGTCTTTTGGTGCATTAAAAGGGTGACCCGCGAGAGACAAACTTATCATGTCCCAAATGGATAAATATCGAGGATACCAAACATTATAAAAAAAATAAAAAAAATGAGAATTTACTTTATAAGAGTATATTAGTCTTGATTTTTATTTTTTATTTTTAATAAATATCCTTTTATTAATATAATTATTTGATTAAAAAAATTGTGAATCAAGAAAAAAATGTAAAAATCTTGACCCATAAAATTTTAAAAGATATTTATCAAGATTATTCATTAAAATAACACTTAATTGGGCCTATATTGATTAGTTTGTTACTTTGTTGTGGTATTTATTTCTTTCATATATATATTTAAGAAAAAAAAAAGAATTGTTTTTCTAATCTATGGTGAAGTACCACACAATTGGTTAGTTCACCAATTAATACATGCATATATCCCATTTATGGAGACATGTACATAGATATTGCCGAGACCAATTTGCCCCACGTTCTTATTCAATTAGAGATCAATATATTCTTGAAATTTCCAAATATGTGTTATCTCTAAAATAACCCAGACAAATCCCCATGATTGATCAACACGCATTAATTCGCAAAAAATTGATAAACTACTCATATCTTGTAATATTTTCGCGCATAAAAATTAGTTTCTGCATGTATATATATATATACATACATATATATATATATATATATGTATACATACATATATATATATCGGAGGAATATTCTAAAGAAATCATCGTCATTTTCATGGTCCCAGTGAGACTAGAATGTGGACATCATCTCGACACTATCTTCTCATCCAAATAAAGTTGAATGTTGAACAATGAACCTAATAAGTGTAGGGCCAAATTCGCCACTAGTTTTAGTGACTTGCTGCCACAAGAAACTCCAAAATTTCGTCCAAATACTCTTTCGCCTTGTTTCGTTCAACATTCAACGATTTAAATTTTTTATTAAATTGGAATTGTGGTGATTTTAGTTTAATATCTAATTGACTCGGATATTATGAGTATCCATATTGCTATACAATAATAATGAGCACCTATTAGATAATATCAAATGCTAAAATACGTGCTTGTTACCGGCGGGTGGGAAGGAGATCAATATGGCGTATTCTTTCCGATTATATATTCTGAGCTGCAAATTCATTATTCATGTATGCATATATTTATTTGGAAAATTATTGTATTGCAAATCTATTGAACATTATTATTCTTATTAATTATTATTTATTATGAAAACTAAGAAAAAAAATTTTAGAGAGAGAAATTAGAGGGAGAGAGAGTTTCATTAATCTTGTGAAAGTGTACAAAATAAAGAGCCTCAAAGCTTTATTTATAAGAAAATTTTCAGTATTAATCATAGTTACTATTTGCACAGTATTTAGTATTTACGGTCACTATTTGAACAGTAAAATTCTAACATAAACGGTAACTTTAACTGACTTGCATAGTAACTTTAATTGAGGTGTATAACTACTATTCATGCCATTATTATTTTTATTATCTTGAAGCCGTTATTATGGACTTGAACTTTGAAAATAATTCTAGACAAACACTACTTTATTATAAGTAACAAGATTAATAAAGTAACAAGATTGTGTTTGGTTAACCACTTAATTGCATTAATGAATTGCTAATGACATAGTAATGATAATAGGAATAAAATGGAAAGAAAAAAAAATCAATTATTTTGTTAGGTTGAGATTTTGTAATCATAAGATGAAATAACCACTTTGCTTGATATCATGCAATAGAATTGATATTAATTTTACCATAATATCCTTATCATTAAGAAGTCATAAAAATTATTTTAGCTTTAAACCATATTTTCTTGTAATAAATTGGATCACTCATCCTCATAATTGAACTATTAACAATTATATATACTTACTGAAAAATTAAAAACGTGGGGTGCGTTTGGAATTGATTTCAAAACGTTTTTGTTTTCATAGCATAGATCGAACTGCCGAATCGGAAAAATTTGGTGCTATCATATAGCTTTGTATTGGCTAAGTTCACGAGTTGGAGATAAGCGGACTCGAACCGCTGACATCCGCCACAGGGTAAACCACAGCCTCTCAGGCCCCCGACTGATTCTACCATAGAGGCCAACGATAGACAATAACTCCCCCCCGAACACAGCTTACAACTTTCATCGTACTGTGCTCTCCAAAGAGCAACTCTTCTCAAAATCTCAAAAGGTGCTGAGTTGGAATCCCATTCTAACTAAGGATCTGTGCGAAAATGAAAATGAAAACGTTTTTAGTTTCATTTTTGAATTATTTCTGAAAATGCGTTTGGTAGTTTTATTTAGAGATTGATTTCAGTTTTAAAAAAAACTGAAACTGCGTTTGGTGGTTTAATTTTTGAAAACATGTAATAATATATTAAATAAATAATATTATTAAATATATTAAATAAATAATATTATTAAATATATTAAATAATAATATATTAAATAAATAACATTATTAAATATATTACATAATAATATATTAAATAAATAATATTATTAAATATATTAAATAAATAATATTATTAAATATATGATATTAAATAAACATATATAATACAAAAACGGTTTCAAAAAGAGGGAAGAAAATGAAAAAAAAAAAGTGAAATCCGTTTTCAGAAAATAGAAAACGAAAAGGAGAAAATGAAAATACCTTTTTTTCGTTTTTTGATTTCCACAAAAAGACAAAAACGTTTTTGGTTTTGTTTTTAAAAAAAATTTGCACCAAACACGTTTTTAACACCCATTTTTATTTTTTTACTTTGAAAACTGTGAAAAATAAAAATAAAAACACAAACAAACAGGCCCGTGAGGTTTTTTTAGTTCTTTTTAAAATGTCTCTCTCTTACTTCTTTGAAGAACACCCAATGGTTGGAATAGAAGGCTAGCCGGTTTAAGCTATGACGACTGAGAACCTCGATGCGGGACAGACTGCAACCACAGGTCTTTGATGGGGAAGTGAGAGTGAAATACTCAGGTGTGGTGTGGGAAACGGATTGCGACATCAATTTTTTTTTTTTTTTCAAAACACGTGAACTTATCAAGTGTATACAAGTAAATTTAGAGCATGTCTTTTTAATTCGAATTGAGATGTGACTTTATATGAGAGTTTTTTACTGTAACAAAAAAATTAAATGCGATTGTTTCTT